TTCAGCAGCGGCTGAATCTGGATGCCAGTTCCGACTTACATACAGATTCAACTTAAGAACAAACCTACAGTCCCTATCTTGTACGTAGCCCGGGGACTGCCTGTATAGCAAAGCTTAATAGCATTTGCACTGATTTCCCCACGGAAGCTACTGAAGCAGCAGTAAAAGAAGGAGAAAAACAAATCAATCATCTTGTCTAGACTTATTTGGGAAAAATAGGTGATTGTGCATTCAATTTAAGGGAAAAGTCTCATATGTGCCTCCTTCTGCCAGTCTCAAGAGAGATGTATTCCACTCCTCCAGGTGTTTTACCTAATTAGTTGATTTTTGTGGGGACTCTGAGATGTTTTCATTCTCATACTAGAACGTCACCACAAGTGGTTTCTGGGTGTGACGTCAGAGAGAATGTTGTGGTGGTCTATGTCCTACTAGTAAGTGATACATAGCAGCACCTGAATGACTAATATACCTCACATTTGAACAAGCTTCTATATTTTGTCATTATCTTAGAACTTATTCAACTCTGGTGCAGATTATAACAGCTATAGCTGGGACTGCAAAAGCACAAAATCATCCAACGCAGAAGAATGTCTTGACCACATCCCCTCCCAACCCCCACATGCATGGTGCAAGCCAATCATGGGGCTCTATGCACTGGAACCTCTATGGAAGTGGGGTGTCAGTCAACCATGGACCACTGATATTCCCTGGAGAGGCTTATGGCTCCTCTGTAGTCCTGATATGCTGGTAAAGATTGCCTGACAGATGACCTCCCCCTATGATCCTTGCTTTGCGGAGCTAACCTAACAGCTGAAACATTTCTCACTTTCAAAAGAGCCATTTACTAGAGAATGAAAATGGTAAGAAACTCAACATGTCCAGAAAGTGCACAGATGGGCAAAGATAATGACTGGGTCCAGTATGAATGTCTCAGAAGCATGTTCTGCAGTACGTCTATATAGACTATATAGATGCTTCCTCCATCACTGGCAGGGCTGAGAGGAACCATGGGAGACTCAAAAGGCATATGGGTGATACAGAGCAGCCCCAGCCCACAGGGCTCCTACCTCCAAGCTCCATGAACTGCTGGCTCCCAACCCCTGCCTGAAAAGCCCCTTTCACAATGAGCAGCCCCCTGGAAACAGATTGACAGAGCCAGATGTATACCTGTCCTGCTACAAGACAGGCCCAACGAAGAAAACAACAGAACACCACTGGCCATCACCTACAGTCCTCAACTAAAACCTCTCCAACACATCAGTGATCTACAACCCATCCTGGACAATGATCCCTCACTCTCAGACCTTGGGAGACAGGCCAGTCCTCGCCCACAGACAGCCTGCCAACCTGAAGCAAATTCTCACCAGCAACTGTATACCACACTACAGTAACTAACTCAGGAACCAATCCCTGCAACACCTCGATGTCAACTCTGCCCACATATCTACACCAGTGACACTATCACAGGACCTAACCACGTCAGCCACACCATCAGGGGCTCATTCACCTGTGCATCTACCAATGTTATATATGCCATCATGTGCCAGCAATGCCCCTCTGACATATATTAGCCAAACTGGACAGTCTCTACATAGCAGAATAAACAGACACAAATTAGATATCAGGAATGGTAACACATAAAAATCTGTAGGAGGAGAACATTTCAATCTCCCTGGACATACAGTAGTGGATTTAAAACACTGCAACAAAAAAAAAAACCTTCAAAAACAGACTTCAAAGAGAAACTGCAGAGCTACAATTCATTTGCAAATTTGACACAATCAATTTAGGATTACACAAAGACTGTGAATGGCTAGCCAACTACAAAAGCAGTTTCTCTTCTCCTGGGCTAGGTCTACACTGCCCTAGCAGTCTTGGATGGCCCATCACATGTTCATTTTAATAATACTTTTGCTGGAGATCTGACAACATGCAAAGAAGGTACCAATGTGGATTTCTAAAGATAACAACAGCACTTGATCCAAGGTTTAAGAATCTGAAATAGGGATGTTAATGGGTAATCAGTAACCATCACTTAACAGCAGCTCCAGCCCCACTGCGCTCCGGTGTGGAACTGCTGGCTCCCAGTCTCCATGGATTGGGATCTGGCAGCTCCATGCAGCGGCTCTAGCAGTCCCATGCAGGGCCAGAAGGGAGGGGGGAAGAGAAGGGCAGAATTCAACCCAGCCATATTGGGTGGGCCACTCCAGCCAAGAGTCCCCCCCCAACCCTCATTTAATCAGTTAACTGACTAAAAGTTAAGTTTAACCAGTTAACTAAACAAACAGGATTTTACATCTCTAATCTGAAGTGATTTCCAAAATTTGACAGCATGAGATGTAGAGCATGCTTTCATAAAACTTAAAAGAGCAACACTCGAATAAGGAAACTGCAGAACCTAAAGCACCAAAAGAAAAAAATCAACTTTTTGCTGGAGGCATTTTATTCGGAGGATGAAAATGAACATGCATCAGTCTGCACT